ACCCTACGCTATCCTTTGCTTTATATCCCTACTACTTCTTCTGTCCTGACTTATCTGAGTTCCTAGATACTTAAGGGTTGTACAATGTACGGTCTGAATTCTAATTTGATATTCCCCTTTATCTTTATAAGAAGTAACATTTTGGAAATCCAAAATAATGGCTTATGCAATTTCTTTGTAGTGATTTCAAATGTACAACTAATGTCTTTATAAATCCGTTAGAAATTCATTTCATCATCAACTAGTCATGAAATTCTAGTTATGTGAAATTAGCGGTCACCATCCCTTAGTGTCATCAGAAGAATTTCTGTTTTGCGAATATGTATTAAGTGTATGTACTTAAACTATCAAACTTTTATTCCTTCAAAGAATATCCCAATCCAATATTACAAATCCCTTTTAATACACAATTAAAACCAAAAAACACGTAACTAATTGTTTATTTACATGAATTATTTTAGTTGTTAAAACAATTTCGTTCAAGTGCCTTCTGTTTCCAGATAAGAACATAATTTACTTTACATTTGAATATTTTGTCCATCATTATTTATCTGAATATATGATAATTACACACTTTCGAAATCAGAATAAAGGGAATTTCAAATAACTGAAAGTAAGAAGGGTAGTGCTCCATTAGTAGTGCTAGTGGCGAGGATGCTGTTGTGTAATAAGAGAACTGCATCGCTTTTAGATGCATCTGTACATCACTTATCATGACAGATGCAAGTCAATCAACTGCATGACAAAAAAGAGAATTTTCATGCGTTTTCAGCGATGTAGGTACATCCCATATTGATATAGAAAAGAATAAAGACACAGATATCGTGCTTGCAGCGTCTTGTGGCAATCGTCCTAAGCCGATCCTGTCTACACCTTTTAACTGGTATTAGATTGAGGAGTGACAATAGATATTATCCCACTCATTTACTAATTATAAGTGCCCGATCATCATTGTCAAAATGTCATCGTTCCGACCTCAGTCTGATCGGCTTCGTGGATAACCGGCCTTAGTAAGTGAGTTTCGTGGGCTTCCCGGTGTCTCGTTGGTTGTTCAGTTTAGCGTTTCAGATATTTAATACCCTTCAAGATTATGACATTTTGTGACAACAGCAACAAAACATTCCCTCATTAACCTCAGGTCATTATGATTTCTTGAGAATTAGTCGTAATAAACGCTATGTCATTTTAAACGGAGTCATTATATCCAAACTTTCCTATAGAGAATTTAATATGAAAACCAAACATTACACTTCAATTACTTCATATTAAGCGGTCGGTCAATATACGCGGAGTCATCATAAACGAATTCCACTGTACGAGATATTTTCAGATAGACCTGGTTGAAAAAAAAATCCACGTTCACGAAATCATGCTTTTTCGCTCGTGCGAGATAAAAAGATTAAATGTCGATAAAGAAATATGGATTTTTTTTATATTCGACGAAAGAAAATGCACATGGAATATGTTTTTTAAAAACACGCATTCATAAAAGTGCAGTAGAATCCGCTTATAATGACATCGAAGAGAAATGACAAACACGTCATACTAAGCGGGTGTCATACAAAACAGTAGTGTCCGACCGAAAATTCGGTTTCGGTTTCGGTCGAGTTTCGGCAAAAAAACGAGTTTAGGTTTAGTTTCGGTTCCGGCGGCAAACCTGCCGAAACTACCACCGAAACCGTTCTCGCGCTCTGCTCTGTCATGTTCGGCGCGTTAAATTCCATCCAAGCGAAGTAGATTAGAAATCATTTAGCATCTTCAAAAGAAATATGAGTCTAGTCTACTATACTTACTCAAATAAACATTTCACCTATTTTAAGTATTTTTAAAGCGCAATTAAAGTATTTCCTTAAATGAAAGGTTGTTATGTTGATTTTGATTTGATTATCAAAATGTCAAAGACTGCACAGCTATGTGATTTAAAGATAAAAAAATAAAACTGACTGATTATAATAACGTTTTCTTTATTTTTCTCTNGATTTTATTTATACATATGTGTTTTTGTGATATTAAGTTTTTTGGGGGACTCATGTACCATGCACCTAGACGGTTTGTAAGCATACGTTGTGACTTAAAACCTACCTTGAAAAGGCCTCAAATTAAGAAGCGAAACGTCGATGTTGGTTTTGCTTTAATAAATCTTGAATTGAACACTACAAAAAAAACGTGTCTAACACGTACGGTAGGGTTTCGTACTTAGTTCTTGCAAAAGGGGTTGGGCTGACAAATAAAGGCCCTTTTTAACACTTTCTTATCCAAAGAAATACTCGAATGTTGAACTGACTAATACAGTCGAACCCACTTATAATGACATCAAAAGGAAATGACAAACACGTCATACTAAGCGGGTGTCGTACAATTAAAGCATAGTCTTAGAAAATAAAGAACTTTCTATTTTGGTTAGTTATTTAGTTTAATAGAGAGAAAAACTACAAATTGTATATATTCATTAACAGAAAAAGAAAAAAAAACGATGAATTGTAATATCAGTATACGAAAACGTTATTATTAATCATTTGGGTCATTATAGCCAGATATGATTTCTTGAGAATTAGTCGAAATAAATAACGTCATTTTAAACGGAGTCATGCAATTACTTCATATTAAGCGGTTGGTCAATATAGGCGGAGTCATAATAAACAAATTCCACTGTACATTTAAAACAAGGCAGTTTTTGTGTCCGTTTTAAAAATTCTGCAGTTTAATGTCCCCCTTCCTCTCATTCTAAAAGTTGTTAATGGATACCTGAATTCCTGAATCACATTTACTTATGTTATGTAACTTAATCGAAGCAGATAGATAGTGTGTGTAATCCCATTCACAAAACTAGAGCTTTACTTTATTGTCAAACACAATTGACGATTGTTACAATATACATATTGTTGCGCGGTAACGCAGTGTGGAATTGTTTCTTTTATCTAGACGTGTTGTTTGCAGAATTACTTTTTCTCTTCCCTTATGGTTACCGTAAATCGGGTAACACGATACAAGCGCCGTAAATCAAAACCAAACTGTTTACATTGCTCCGTCCGCAGACTGCATACCTGTACGTACCTACAGGTATTATAAAGTCGCGAAGCGCACGCGGCTAAATAATAATTAATGAAACCGTTTGTTTCATTGACAAAAGCAAATACACCTCGAAGAATGTTAGTAAACAATTGACAGTTTATCGCGTTTGTTTTCTGTTTTACTTACGAAACGGAATCGATTTTCAAAGCGTTCCGGGAAGAGATTGGTAATTTTCAATTTGTTTCCCTTCAATAGTAATGCACTTTTATACACAAACGTGCACAAAACTGCAATCAAATAACAATTCTATTTTTATTATTCAATTAATTATGTATAGTATAATCTATGTACTGTATGTTACTTCCGTCAGAAAGGTAATTATTAACAGCGTACCATTATTTTCATCAGAATGTAGAATCGATCACAGGATTATCATTTTACGCCAATAGATCATTGCATCGATGGATAATCGCGAAGGACTTCGCTGTTTACGAACGTAAAATCCTTTTGTTCCTTACTTTCTCTAAATATTCGGAGCATTTCCCTGACCGCAAAATTGAATAGTATATAAATTTCGTTTTAAATACATATGAATAAAACACTGATAATAAATAAATTTTAACTTCTGATTAGTGTCCGACCGAAAGTTCGGTTTCGGTTTCGGTCGAGTTTCGGCAAAAAAGCGAGTTTCGCTTTCGGCGGCAAACCTGCCGAAACTACGACCGAAACCGAAACTGCGTTCGGGAGTTCTCGCGCCCTGCTCGGTCATGTTCGGCGCGATAAATTCCATCCAAGCGAAGTATACTATACTTACTCAAATAAACATCTCAGCTATTTTAAGTATTTTTAAGGCGCAATTAAAGTATTTCCTTAAATGAGGGGTTGTTATGTTGATTTTGATTTGATTATCAATAAGTGAAAATGTCAAAGACTGCAGAGCTATGTGATTTAAAGATAAAAAAAATAAAACTGACTGATTATAATAACGTCTTCTTTATTTTTCTCTCAAAACATGATCCTCATAAGGAAGTTTTAGTTTCGGTTTCGGTTTCGGTCGTAAAAACCAGTTTCGGTCGGACACTATTTCTGATGTTTATTTTTACCTTGACAATTGTTTCGGCGAATACTAATAGTTTCTTCGAAAGTTATGTGGTAAACATGAAGAAGTCAAAGTTTGGCGAAACAATTGCCTATGTCACAGAAGTTAAAAGTTATTCATCATCATAACGTCGTCAGTCCTAAGACTGGTTGGACACGCATCTGTACTCCTTCCTATCCTGAG